TGCCTCTTAGCTCAAGCAGATACAAGAGACTAAATGGGCAGCTTCTGTCTGGAGGTGAGATGGGAAGGCAGAGACGGCTAGGAGCTGGTTGACTGGACATGGGGAATCGGGTGGAAAGGAGGAGTGTGCTGTCACAGTATGGGGAGAGCAATTAGAGTCACATAACAACGTATGTATAAATTTTTGTATGGAAGACTAACTTGAAATGTACACTTCATTTAAACTATAACAATAAACAACAACAACAAAAATACCATTTGTTCTTGATCATATGCTATCTCCTGAAATGGCTGAACATCGAGCAATTCTTTTGGAATAGTGACTCTATATTTCTTTCATCTTGTTTTGAGGCTTCCTGCATTGTTTAATGTTTTGCCCACAGAATCCTTCAAAATTGCAACTCAAGACTTCAATTTTTTTCTCCAGTCATTTCAGCTTGAGAAATGCCGAGCGTGTTCTTTCCTTTTCGTTTTCTAACTCCAGATCTTTGCACATTTCATTATAATACTTTACTGTCTTCTCGAGTCACCCTTTAAATCTGTTCACCCCTTTTACTTCATCATTTCTTCCATTCTCTTTAGCTGCTCTACGTTCAAGAGCGAGCTTCCGTGTCTCTTCTGATGTCGATTTTGGTGTTTTCTTTCTTTCCTTTTTAATAAGCTTTTGATTTCTTCATCCCATAACTTGTCTGGTGTTCAATCATTTAGTATTCAGTGTGTCAAATCTATTCTTGAGATGGTTTCTAAATTCAGGTGGGATATACTCAGGGTCATTCTTTGGCTCTCGTAGACCTGTTTTAATTTTCTTTAGCTTCAACTTGAACTTGCATAGGAGCAATTGATGGTCTATTCTGCAGTTGGTCCCCGGCCTTGTTCTGACGGATGATATTGAGCTTTTCCATCATTTCTTTCCACAGATGTAGATTTGATTCCTGTTTTCCATCCAGTGAAGTTCATGTCTATAATCACCGTTTATGTTGTTGAAAAAAGGTATTGCCAATGAATAAGTTGTCCGTCTTGCAAAATTCTATCATGTGATCTCCGGTGTCTCACCAAGGCCATATTTTCCAACTACTGATCCTTCTTCTTTGTTTCCAACTTTTGCATTCCAATCACCGGTAATTATCAATGCATCCTGATTGCATGTTTGATCAATTTCAGACTCCAGAAGTTGATAAAAATCTTTAATTTCTCCATCTTTGGCATTAGTGGTTGGTGCGTAAATTTGAATAACAGCCGTATTAACTGGTCTTCCTTGTATGTGTATGGGTATTATCCTGACAACATTGTAATTCAGGATAGATCCTGAAATGCTCTTTTTGACAATGACTGCAATGCCATTTCTCTTCAATTTGTCATTCCCAGCATAGTAGATCATAACATTGCCTGATTCAAAATGGCCAGTACCAGTCCACTGCAGCTCACTATTGCCTAGGATATCGATGTTTATGCATTCCATTTCATTTTTGATGACTTCCAATTTTCCTAGTTTCATACTTTGTACATTCCATGTTCCAATTATTAATGGATGTTTGCAGCTGTTTCTTCTGATTTTGAGTCGTGCCACCTCAGCAAATGAAGATCCCGAAAACTTTACTCCATCCATGTCATTAAGGTTGACTCTACTTTGAGAAGGCAGCTCTTCCCCAGTAGTATTCTGAGTGCCTTCCAACCTGAGGGGCTTATCTTCTGGCATTATATTAGACAATGTTCTGCTGCTATTCATCAAGGTTTTCACTGGCCAATTTTTTCAGAAGTAGATGGCCAGGTCTTTCTTCCTAGTTTGTCCACTGAAACCTGTCCATCATGGGTAATCCTGCTGGTATTTGAAATACCAGTGGCACAGCTTCCAGTATCACAGGAATATGAAAGCCACCACAGTATGACAAACTGACAGACGCGTGGAAAAGATTACCATGCAGCATTGGAAACCCTGTGGGGCAGCTCTATGGAGTTGGAATTGACCCGATGGCAATGGATTTGGTTTTAATTATTAACTAAGGAGCGCTGGTGGTGCAATGGTCACGAGCTTGCTGCAAATCCAAAAGTCAGAGGTTCAAACCTACCTGGCGATATGCTCCTGTAAAGACTACAGCCTAGGAAACCCTATAGTGCAGTTCTACTCTGTCATATAGGGTCAGTATGAGTCGGAATCAACTTGATAGCAGATGACAACAATTATTAACTAGGAGTCCCTGGGTGGCACAAATAGTTAAGCGTTCAACTACCAGCCAAAAGGTTGGTGGTTCAAACCCACCTAGAGGTACCCCCGGAAGACAGGCCTGGCTACCTGCTTCCAAAAGGTCACAGCCTTGAAAACCCTATGGAGCGTCTCTACTCTGCACATATAGGATCATCCTGAGTAGGGATCAACTCAGCAACGAACAACAATTAGTATCTATTGGACTCCAGGAGTCTAGATTAAGCTGTAAAATGGACATAAGGTGATTGTAAGGGTTAAATGAGATAATCCTCCAAACAATGTCTAGTCCTCCTAAGGCCTTGGTTACTTGAAGGCCCCCTTCCAAGTTCTCCACCTACTGTAGAAGGAATAATGAGAGAAACACCCTCTCATTCATTTCTTCATTCAACTAAATTTGCTCAGCATTTATTGTGTCAAGTGCTGGGTATTTGGACCAGTCTTCAAAACTCAGTTTGAAACAGTACAAACGTGAAAAGGAGAGAAAGCGGCTCCTACGCTTTTATACCGAGTTCCCCAGCTCCGGGGCTTGGACAACTCGACCTTAGGCCCCGCCCCGGGACACCCGCCACCGCACCCCCCCACGGCGGGGCCATTCAGGGGCTGCTCTCAGTTTCCTTGCCTAGGCCCAGTCCTCTCCGGGTGTTCCCGCTAGCTCTCACCTTACCTCGCCCTTAGGGCCCTCGGGCACCACGCTCCAGTTACCTAGTCATGGACACGCCCCCTGAAACACCTCCGTCCTTGCAGGCCCAGCCCCTTCGACTCTCTCAGACTCCACCCCCTGGCTCTGGCTCTAGTCCCGCAGTTGCTCAGTGGTTGCCGCACTGGGCAGTACAATACCTGGAGGCCACTCCGCTTGTTCCAGGTGAAGATGGACCCCGGGTACCCGCTCAGAGCTAACAGCAGCTCGTGGATCATTCCCACGGCGGACCTTGAGTCCCTAGATACGTCACCCTCTCCTCCAGCGCCTTTCCAGGCGATCACGGAGGCGAGTTTTCCCTTCTCGACGCGTGCACAAGCCCCAGGGATGAGCAGTTCGTCCTGAATCAACCCCGCCGAAACAACTGCTGCGAGAGGAGCAAAAGGGAAGCTGGGAAGTCGGCGCGCCAAATCCCGGAAGTGCGCCGGCCTCGGTTTGTCCCACCCTCTCTCTACTCTTGGGGTGGGAGGGAGACGGGAGGCTTAGTAGCTGCCCCTGCGCATGCGCCCTTTGTGCCCTGAGGCGCCCGCTCGGACTTCCGGTTTGAGAAATGGACTGGGAGGCCGGCGGCGAGCTGGGGCCGGGTCGGAGCTGGAGTGGGTGAGGCTGGCCTGGGGGCAGGAATGAGTGGGTTGAGGGCCAGTGCAAGAAGGAGACGCCCCCAGGGGTGTGTCGGAGAGTGTTCTCAGGGCGCCTTAGCCCGGCCGGAGGCCTCTGTTAGGCACTCCACCGCGGCTCCGACAGTGACCCGGCCGGAGGGAGCGAAGACAAAGAGGCCGGATCCCCTTACGCGCGGCTGCTGGAGCTGAGTTCCGCGCCAGCAACCCCGCAGCCCTCGAAGCCTCTGGCCAGCACCCGGGCTCGTCCTCAGGAAACCCATCACTACTGTCCCCTGGACTCCCTCTCTACCAACTCAGTGTGACTCTCCCCAAGCCCACCCGGCCCTCGCTTCAGGAGTCGGAGCCACCTTCTCCCGATGCGCTTGGTTACCCTTCCGTAGCTCTCAAGTCCTTGCTGAACGGTTACTCTGCTGTGAGAGAAAAACAAAGCCTCGACATTTAGTAAATTGATTTTTGTGTGGGGTGCGAATTGGTAGTTGTGGAGTCGGGGGGGGCGGGGCGGACGGAAGGGGCCTCGGGAAGGACTGACGAGGTACGGGGGAGATCAGCTGCGACCCGCTGGACAGAGGCTTTGCCGCCTTCAGCAGGATGGTGACTTGTCTTTAGATCCTCTAGAACTTCGGGGCTTCCATATGGTTCGAACTCACTGTGTAGTACTGGTTAGGGGAGCTAAATGGGGTCGGATTTGGGGGAGGTGGGAGAGGAGCAGACACAGTACTTTCTATTTTCTGGTGCTTCCCCGGGCTGCCCTGGAAGTCGCCCAGAAACGCAACTTTTGAAAGGTCTCTCTCCTTCAGCTTACAGTCTTGGCTTGCTGCCCTGAAGATGGTGCTACCTCAGATGGCCACTTGGAGCATATGGGAAGTCAGGCCAGCCCTGGCGAGATTTTAGACATATGAATACATTCCTTCTGATAGTGCCATCTCTCTCTACCCTAGGAAGAAACTCCTCTTACAGAGAGACTCTGCAGGTGATTCTCCAAGGACATGGGAAGATAGGTGTAAGCCCTGGAGCCCAGTCCCTTAAGTGGAGGGAAGCTGCTTTCTGCTGTGAATGATGGCCAAACCCACTCTGAGAGGGGATGGCACTAACTCTGAGACCTTCCGACAGCGCTTCAGAAGATTCCATTACCAGGAGGTGGCTGGGCCCCGGCAGGCTTTCAGCCAACTCTGGGAACTTTGCTGTCGGTGGCTAAGGCCGGAAGTGCGCACCAAGGAGCAGATCGTAGAGTTGTTGGTGCTAGAGCAGTTCCTGACGGTCTTGCCTGGGGAGATCCAGAACTGGGTACAGGAACAATGTCCAGAAAGTGGAGAAGAGGCGGTGGCTCTGGTGGAAGATTTAGAAAGAGAGCCTGGAAGACCTGGACATTCGGTGAGAAAGGAGGGGGAATTCAGAAATGTGTGACTGGAAAGGGGCAAGGGTAAAGGGCCAGATTAAGATATAGACAGGTTTAAAGAGGGGCACAATCTCCTTCAATGATGCTTATGCTTGTGATCCTGGAACAGGTAACTTTCAGATAGAGCTTGCCTGGAGATGCTACCTGGGTATATCTTTGCCTTCGCTGCCGTAATGAGTTATTCCTAGTCCCTTAATCAGGAAGAAAGGGGATTTTTTTTTTAAACTTGTAGTTGGGTTTACTATTTTGATCTTTTCCTTCTGTAGTTCTAGCTGCTCTAAGTTAATAGTAATGGAATTCCCTGTTTGTTATAACCCCCAACCCCTTCAACTCCAGCCATGTCCCAGAAGGATGATCTCTTTTGGGGTATTAATTAATCTCCTCTGGGAATGCCCTGCATTATGACCTTGCAGTGACAATTCGTGGGGGTTGTTTCTAGGTCACAGTCTCTGTGAAGGGGCAGGAAGTGCGCTCGGAGAAGATGACACCCCTGAAATCATCACGGGAGTTGTTAAGTGTTCGGCAGGAGTCAGTGGAACCCCAGCCCAGGGGTGTACCCAAGAAAGAGAGGGCAAGAAGCCCAGACCTGGGACCACAGGAGCAGATGAACCCAAAGGAGAAGCTCAGACCTTTTCAAAGGAGCGGTGAGGAGTAGATTCATGTGGGTAGATAGGTGTCATTCTAAGCTGGGAGAAGTAGGGTTGGAAATAGTGAGTGGGAAAGGGATTTCAGGAGTAAGAGAATTGTAGAATATGCAGTTGTTGGGGACCAACTGAAGGCATGTAGTTTAGCTCTCTGCCTACAGTAAGTATTTTTTATATTTACACTTTTGATAAGTCCACGAGAGGATGGCTTCCTAGTTTTTATCTGAACTTGGAACTATTTTAACTTAACCAACTATTTTGGTAGTGATAATAGTAGGTCACTATTTTCTAGATAGAAGTTCTTTTCTATACTTGAAGGCACATCTTCCTTTTAGTCATTTCCATCTCCAAATGGAAGTATGTTTATTTGTTAAACTTTTCTCCAGAAGCTCCATTCTCAGACCTAGGTTTTTATTAACTCTCCTTTAATCTCAGTGTTAATTGTGGAGAATTAAATTCTGTGTATTATGCTAGGGAGGCCTGGTAGGGAGAGGCAGAACAGGAGCTTTTCCTTCACAATTTTGCTACATTTTCTTTCAGTATAATCCAATTTATAATTATTTGATAATTTTTGTTCACCTGTTAACTCCCAGGACTCTTACAGCTTTCCGTATTGCCTTTGTGCCTAGTCGCTGCTTCTTGTACTTGATTTTGTAGAACTTGTTTTTCTTCTTTGAACTCTATTGAACTCCATTTTGTATATTTTTTTCTTTGATCATTTGTTTAATTTGTTGAGGTTGTTTTGAATTCTGATCTTATCATCCAAGACATTGGCCTTCTCAGCCAGTTTGGTAATGGTCTTTATTAGTCATCCACATCAAGTCCCTGAAACCCACACACCGACTTAGAGAATTAAATCAGTTGGGTTTTAAACACCTACAGCGCGCTCAACCCCTCACAGGGTTCTTGAGCTTACAGTGTGACTGAGAACACAACCACATACTATAAATACGTGCTGAGCTCTGCGGGAACAATACCAAACACTGACTTGTTGCTCAATTGTGTGAGTGCAGTGGGGCTTTGGCAGAGTGAGAGATGAGGGAGGGTTAGTGTACGGTCTCAGGGACACTGGCAAATATGGCTTCTTGAAGGATGAGTTAAATTTTGATAGGAAGAAGAGTTAAAGAGAGCACAACGTGGTAAATAAAAAGTTAGCTGTGTTCTGAAGAGAATAATATGAGTGGAAAGTGCATGGTAGACAGGAAGGTTAAGGTTCAGCAGGTAGGGTAGGGCTAATTCTAATCTTGAAAACTGGAGGGAAGTATAGATTGGATGAGGTAAGATTTAGAGAGTGGTTGAAGGTTTTGAACAGAGAAGTGACATGATGGGAGCTGTAAATACACTGTTCTAGCAGCAGTATAGCCTGTGAACTGAGAAAGCAAGGGCCCGGGTTAGGTAGAGAATAGCAGTGAATGCTGCAGTTATCCAAGTTTGAGCAGATAAGGAGGCTGGGTTTGTATGGTGGCGGTAGGGAGGACTTACTAAGGGAAACACCTTTAGAACTTGGTAACTGAATGTGGAAATGGATGAGTTGGAGACAAACCCCCCTCCTCACGTTGAAATCACTGAGTTTGATTCTCTAGCCCCAAGTGAAGAACTATAGGAGACAGGAGGTAACTGTTTCCAACAGTTCCTGCCTACAGGTGGTGAGGAGGGTTAGGGAGCAACTTGGAATAGAAGTATCTGCTCTGAACGCACAACAGAACCTTTTCTTCTTGTCACCCTGCTCTGGAAAATTCTCATTTTTTGCAGTTTACAGTATTTTCCCCACTTTCCTCAACCCATTGAACTTTCTGAAAACATTTCCCTAGGCACTTTCCTGATAATCGTTTTGGATAAAAAAGGCAGGACTAAACTCAGAGATTTTTATATGATCAGCCCAAACTATGATATCGTTTGTTTGCTTCCCTGCAAGCAGGATTTCCATTTCCTAAATCTGGTGTGGTCTCCAGGCCGGAGCAGGGAGAGCCATGGATCCTAGATCCGCTGGTCTCCAAGGAGAGGGAACTCCCAAGAGGCAGTCACACTGGAGAAGGACGAATGCCTGCTGATCTGTTACCATCCAGGAGCGAGAGAAGAAGCTGGGTAGAACAGGATCACTGGGGCTTTGAGGATGAGAACGTGGCAGGGGTGCACTGGGGCTATGAAGAGACGAAAACTCTCCTTGCAATTCTCAGTCAGACTGAGTTTTACGAGGCTCTCCGAAATTGTCATAGAAATAGCCAAGTGTATGGGGCAGTGGCTGAGCGGCTTCGGGAGTATGGCTTCCTCCGGACCTTGGAACAGTGTCGGACCAAGTTCAAAGGTCTCCAGAAGAGCTATCGGAAAGTCAAGAGTGGCCACCCGCCTGAGACCTGCCTGTTCTTTGAAGAGATGGAAGCCCTGATGAGTGCGCAGGTCATTGCCCTGCCCAGTAACGGCCTGGAAGAGGCAGCCTCTCACTCAGGTCTAGTGGGCAGTGATGCCAAGACTGAGGAACCAGGGCAAGAGGGCTGGCAGCCTCATGGGGAAGCAGAAGAGGCCATGGCTGAGGAGTCTGACAGTGATGACATGGGCCCGGAGGCCACCCCCCAGGACTCCGACAGCTCATCTGCACCAGTCCTGTTCCGAAGCCCAGGTGGTAAGAGGCTTTTCTTCTTGGTTTGGGGATTAGACTTGGAGGGGGATGAGACTGGATATGGAGTCAGGAGGCACAATGTCACCTGCCAGCTTTGCCACTTAAATAGGGAACAAAGAGGGTACTTCTAAATTCTACGTGTATTTCATTCTCGTTTGTGGTAAAAAGATAATAGGTAGGGAATAACTTTAGATTTTTTAAAGAAATACACTCAGAAAATTCAATAGAGTCTTGAAAAGAAATAAATATCATTCCTTTCATTTCTTTATTAAAATTTTTTTCTGATTATAAAATGATTGCAGGCTCATTGAGGAGAACTTGTCACTACATTATTTTTAAGGAGATCTAGCATTTATTGAATACCTGATATAAACTTGGTGCTTTACACGTTACTGTATTTTTTCGCAAATAGTGTGCCCACATAAATAACATGCACACACAATGTATGGAAATGATGAAATTATGTAAAAAAAGTACTGGCATAGCACACCCATGCATATACTGCACATGTCTTGTGACATTTCCCAAAGTGAATTTGGGCCTCATTCACCTTCATTTAATAGTTCAAAAATGTTACTTTTGATCATTTGTATAATAAAGGTATACCATATTTTTATGCAAATAACATGTGCCTTCTATGTTTGATTACCAACCACACCCTCTCCCCATGAGGTATTTTCATAAGCAGCGCTTACACCGATTTTTTTTACGTTGCTGTTAAAAAAAAAATTAGCATAGGGTGCTTACAAAAATACCTCGTGGGGGAGGGTGCGGTTGACAAACAAACATAGAAGGTGCGTATTATTTGTGTAAAAATATGGTAAACCATGGCCAAGAAGTCATGGATTGAGTTTGGTAGTGCCTGGTAATTGGAAAATAAACAGTTGGAACTGTGTGTTTCTGTTTATTTAAGTTGATCAGTATATCCCTGTCACTTTTGAGTTATCAGTCAGAACCTTGAACCTACTGAAGCCTGTCCATAAATCATGTGTTATCAGTTGGAAGTGTAAACAAAGCGAAGCCTGCACTGGCATAAATGGCACCAGTAGTTATCAATAGGAATCTCAGTTGGATCTGCAGTGACATAATTATCACAGTTATTTTCGAACTCTGGCTTTTAATTGGAGGAGTAAACAAAGCAAAACTGATAACACAATTGCTCTTGCCTCAACAGTTGAATTCAAAAACCTTATCAGATCATCTTAAGTGAAACCATTAAGCTATGTTAGGTCTGCTTATTTCATAGTCTAATTACGTGTTATTAGCGCCAATGTCTTTGATCAGTGATCATAAATCACCTTAGTCATGCTTGCGAGCATATAAAGAGACCCCTGTGGCGTAGTGGTTAAGAGCTACAGCTGCTCGAATCCACCAGGCGCTCCTTGGAAACTATAGGGCAGTTCTACTCCGTCCTATAGGGTGGTTAAGAGTCGGAATCGACTTGATGGCAGTGGGTTTGGTTTTTTTTGGTTTTGCTTCTTGTACATCTCACATTTGAATTGTGTTCTCTTTACTTGAACGAACCAGTTATTGATAGTATCGTGCACATTTTTTCAGTTCATAAATCTAAATCTTAGAACCCTTTAGGATCATGGCAGGAATTAGACACAAGTCCTACACCGCTGACTTCAAACTGAAAGTCATGAGGGCGGAAGAAACAATAACAGCGGCAGCGAGAGAGTTTGAGGTTGGAAAGTCGTCCATTTGCGAATGGATAAAGAAGAAAAAGGAGCTGGAGACAATCCATGAAAATGTACACGTCGTGGGCCCAAAGCGAAATGGCCTGAGTTGTAGAGCGACTTGAAAGAGTGGATTATTTCTCAAAGGAAATGAAATCAAGCTGTCTCTACTGTTGCAAGTCAGGTGAAAGTGAAGCTTCTGGCGAATGAAAGAGGAATCACAGATTTCAATGCAGGTTTCACTTGGATTTCTAAATTCATGAAAAGGAATGGCCTTTCCGGGAGAATGAGAACCACTGATGATGATAACGAATAAATAATCTAAAATGGCCTACTTTAAGTTTAAAACACAGTTTGTTCTGATGACTCATTTGTTGACTTCAAAGACATTGATTATCAAAAATTATGTTTCAGTTTAAGACTTATAAAAGCAATAAAATATAAACATCTTGTTCTTGTAGATTTAGTCCTAGGATAATTTCTTATCTAATTTCTAGCTTTTCGTGAATTCATACTGTTCGGTTTCAACATGGCGTCCCATTTCCATCATGAGCTCATTCAGTTCACAATTGGTAGCACTTGGTTTAGGAAAATACCTTAAATGAAGTTTCCATGAGATTAGTCTTATCCCGGTAACATTAAATCCATTGGACAGAAAGAAAATTGAGGTCAGCAACATGTAAAAAAATATTGGTACAGTGTGCTTATGAAAATAAGGCACTGAGGGGTGTACAGTTTGCAAAAATGTATAACGCTCATGTTATTTGTGTAAAAATACGGTATATCTCTTACCCTTCAAAATCTCTCAGTCAGTCTATTATGTGTTCCTTTTTGCTTAGAATAGCACAGTGAAAGATTGCCCAAAGTGTGTTCTAAGCAGCACTAGACCTTCAAGATCTTTCATAGAAAAGGTTTCCATGGCTAAGTTTGGGAAATATTTTATAATAGTCTCAGCTATTCGCAATACACATTGTATTTTAACAGCACTGAGAAGTCCTGTAGTAAGAAAGCTTGCTTGGCACTGTGTTTGGAAATATTATTGGCCTATGGAATCCTTTTTTAAGTATCACTTATTACTGTTGATTTAATTTATACAACCGTGGTGTTATGGAAAGAACACCAAAGTATGAGGAGGCTTTTTTTTTTTCTTTTTTTAAAATAAAACAGCTCTATTGAGAGAGAATTCACATGCCACACAATTCACCCTCAATCTTCTCAGTGCCTGTTTCCTCATGAAGCAAAACCAAACCGACTGCTGTCAAGTCGATTCTGACTCATAGTGACCCTATATGGCAGAATGGAAGTAGAACTGCTCCATAGGGTTGCCAAGGCTGTAAATCTTTACAGAAACAGACTGCCACGTCTTTTCTCTTGTGGAATGGCTGGTGGGTTCGACTCACCAACCTTTTGGTTAGCAGCCAAGTGCTTAACAACAGTGCCACCGGGGCTCCTTCAGTAACGTGCTGGCTGCTATTGTTATCCTTGTCCTTTTCTGTTCATCTTTTTCCACTGCTTTTTGTCTTCCGATTTTTTCCCATTCTCTTTCATTCTCAGTAAGTGGAGGATGATGGGAGAAGTCTAACCTCCAACTGGCTTTCGTTTGGGAGGAAGACTCTTGAAGCCCCCTTTCCTTTGACCTTGGGTACCTTCAGGAAGCAGAGACTTAACTATCCTGAAAGCACTGCCCAAGGGCGGGGACCTGCAGCCCTAGCAATGTGTTCAGTCCAGGGGATGCCGTCTCCTCTGCTTCCTCTCCTGGCATCTAGTCCTGCACCCCTGCAGATAAGGTGCATGGCTATAAGCTCCTTTTCTTTTACCCTTCAGGTCCTTTGCCATTACTGGGCTTGATTATTTGAGATTGTGGCAAGTTAAAAAGGGCCATAATAGGGATCAAGCAGCAATGTGATTCTGAAAGAGGCAGTTCCTTGGGGTTTGGGGTCATTCTTTGGCAAACAATCCCAAGGAAGTAGGGCTGGTAGAAAAAGGAGAATGGTCGATACGTTAGGGGTCACTCTGTGGCTGACAGTGATGGATTGTGGTTCTTCTTCCCCTGATCAGTTATTTTCTAGTTAGGATCAGAACTCCAGAACAACTACTGGAAGGATGGAAAAATGCATGCTGTACACTTGCCTCAGTACTTAGTGACGGTTTCAGTGGTCAGGCAGAAAGCCCTCTCAACATAGGAATTAAGGTCTTTGTAAAATTGCTATGGGATATAGGGAAGCAGAGCATTCTGTAATGAGTTTGCATAGATTTTGGAAACACGAAGTATTTACCTTTCTATATAGAACGTGAGGTTAGTGACTTTTCATGTTGCAGATGGTAGGTAGGTCTGAGGAATTGAGGCTTTAAAGCTCTGGGTTATAAGTGGTACTGAAATTTCTGTTCTGGTGGCAGGTGTACACTGGGGCTATGAAGAGACCAAGACGTACCTTGCAATTCTTAGTGAGACTCAGTTTTACGAAGCGCTCCGGAACTGTCACCGCAACAGTCAGCTGTATGGAGCCGTGGCTGAGCGGTTGTGGGAATATGGCTTCCTCAGGACACCCGAGCAGTGTCGGACCAAGTTTAAAAGTCTACAAACCAGCTATCGCAAAGTCAAGAATGGCCAGGCACCAGAGACCTGTCCCTTCTTTGAAGAGATGGATGCTTTGGTGAGTGCACGGGTTGCTGTCCTGCCCAGCAGTGGCCTGGAAGAGGAGACACCTTCTTGCCCAATCCAGGAGACCAGTGAGGCCGAGGCTGAGAAGCAAGCCGAAGAGGCAGAAGAGGCCATAGAAGAAGATTCTGAGGGCGATGAGGAGGATATGGAGGTACCCCCAGGGGCTGTCCTGACCCGTGCTCCGGTCTTATTCCAGAGCCCCAGTGGTAAGATTCTTTTACTTCTTAAGGTCTAAATGGCGAAAGGGAGCCAGTGGGATTTAGAAAAATAATGATCATGTTGAGGACTAGGAGAACTGGCCTCTCATGCTGTCTTGGATTCTTCTTGTGACTTTATCTCTTCCCTGTTTCCTTTTCATTAAAGCAGTTCAGTGAGGGGATATAAACCATTCATGTGACTTGCCTCTTACATCATCAATCTGAGGTGATTACAAACCGTGTAAAGTTGCTGTCATCCTATGTGTCAGCTATCGAATTTCTAGCCAGTTTACTTAGCAAAATCAGTGGCTGTCAGTTCCAACTCAGAACAAGCCTATAGGACATTGTAGAACTGCCCCCATGGGTTTCCAAGGCTGTAATCTTTATGGAAGCAGACTGCCACATCTTTCTCCCATGGAGCAGCTGGTAGGTTTGAACCGCTGACCTTTCGGTTAGTGGCCGAGCACTCCACACCACCTTAGCAGGGAATCTGAAAGCTAACATTTCCCAAGTGGCATGTCATGTACCCATCGTAGGAGGAACTTAATTTTTAACATTAATTCTCACCTGTTTTTGCTTCTAGTTTCAGTTTGTATGCCAGCTGTGTGTCTGCTTTATTTGCATACTTAAAAACCTGATAATCCTTTTCTTCAGAGCCACTTGAGCAAAAGCCTGAGACTTCTGAGGGAATTGACCCTTTGAATCTTAGTTATTATATAAGAAAAAAACAATACTTCACTATGGGTTCCCTCATTGTGAGGAGAAGAGATCTGATTTTGGAGTCACACATGTATATGTGAATCTGGGCTCTGTTGTTTATCAACAGAGCCAGTTACTTAACCCTTGTAAGTTTGCTTCCCTATTAAGATCTACCTCATGGGGTTGATGTAAATGAGATACTGTGTAAAGCACCTAGCACAGTGCCTGGGTGTATAGTTGTAGTTGTTAGGTGCCGTCAAGTTGGTTCTGACTCATAGCGAGCCTGTGCACAATGGAACGAAATGCTGCCCAGTCCTGTGCCATCCTCATGATGTTTGAGCCCATTGTTGAGCCACTGTGTCAATCCATCTTGTTGAGGGTCTTCCTCTTTTTTGCTGTCTGCATTACTAATGAGTGTTTGCAGAGGTTTGTTCTCATTTTGAGTCATGCCACATCAGTAAATGAAGGTCCTGAAAACTTTACTCCATATCATTAAGGTCAACTTTACCTTGAGGAGACACCTCTTCCCCAGTTGTATTCTGAGTGCCTTCCAACCTGAGGGGCTCATCTTCCAGCTCTATATCAGACAGTGTTCTGCTGCTATCCATAATGTTTTCACTGGCCAGTTTTTTTGGAAGCAGATCACCAGATCCTTCTTCCTAGTCTGTCTTAGTCTGGAAGCTCTGCTGAAACCTGTCTACCATGGGTGACCCTGCTGGTATTTGAAATACCAGTGGTATAGCTTCCAGCATCACAGCAACACGCAAGCCACTACAGTACGACAAACTGATAGACAAGTGGTGGGGGCACATAGTAGGTATTCAATAAATAATATTTTTCCATAAATCCTTTATATCAACATTTTTGAAAGACATTCTATGGAGCATCAATTCCATGGGGTATTAATATATTCCACTAAAAAATCACTTGGAGGTTTGGGAAATGCTGAATACCCTTCTTGGAGACTCACAATATATATTTATTCACATATTTAAGTTTCTGGTATTTCATTTAAACTAGTGAACCCTATTTCATGAAACATAAGACTAGGTTTCTGGGTGGAAATACTGCTTTAGGGGGCATATGTATATATACATCATTCTTTTGCTTAGATTTAGTTCAGGGAATTTGGGATCCAGAGTTTGTTATCTGAAACATCTGAATAACTGCAAATTCTCATAGGCTAGGCCCAGAAGAGACTGGCAGTTGGTTCTTAGGAGAATATTCTTCCTCCTTTTCTTAAAAAGTTGCTTAGTAGAACACCTGGGCATTAGAGTAGGTGTTTTGGAACATTTAGTGATTATTTTTCCAAGGACAAAGAAAATTGTTTTAGAGAGACACTTCTGGCAAAGTTTCTCTCTCAGAGGACTTTTGTTCTTTGAAAAACACTATGTATTTTTCTACCCTGTTTTTATTCTCAACATATATTAGAATTTGAGGTGAAGAGACCCATGTAGGTCTTTCTAGATACAGAAGTTTCCCAAAAAGTTTTCCTGGGCATTCCCTTCTAATCTTTTTAGTTACTGGCAAAAAACTAGAATAACATGATAGGCCTGAGATGAGGCAAAAAAACAGCATTAGAAAATATTTCTCCTGTATAAACATGGTAATGGTCTTGTCTTAAATTCAGTGGGTTTTCCATGCTCTACTGAGGATTTTCTGAAGACCCTGGGTATCCAGGAAGGGTTAAAGGATATTCATCATCCCCTATGTAGACGAGAAGCAAGTGATAGGTTACTACTTAGAGAAATAAAACATTGGAATTTCAGTAGATGAGAATTAGTTGGGGTCAGAGCTCCCTAATTTTTATCTTTCATTATCTAATTGCAATACTTGCTTTCCCCAGGTTTACTTTGCCCTTGTACATACCACTGAGGAAATGAATAACTTTAAAAATTCTATTCTTATATCAGGTTTCGAGGCTGGATTTAAGAATGAAAAGAATCCAAATCGGGATATTTCTGAGGAAGTACAACTGCATAGGACATTGCTCGCAAGATCTGAAAGGAAAATTTCTCGACATCATAATCAGGGTAAAGGCAGTGAGAGTGAATGTAGATCAGGCCGACAGTGGGAAAAGACCCCAGGGGACAGAAGAGGAAAACTGATACTCCCAGAGAGGAGCTTAGGGAAAGTCCTAAATCATCAGAAACCTTATTTGGGAGAGAAACCCTATAAGTATCTCAGATATGGCAAAAGCTTTGGTCCAAACTCCCACCTCATGCATCAGATATCCCACCAGATGGAAAATCCATATAAATGTGCTGATTGTGGGAAAAGCTTCAGTCGTAGTGCACGCCTTATTAGACACCAGAGAATCCACACTGGTGAGAAACCTTATAAATGTCTTGACTGTGGGAAAAGTTTCCGTGACAGTTCAAATTTCATCACCCATAGGAGAATCCACACAGGAGAGAAACCTTATCAGTGTGGTGAGTGTGGAAAACGCTTCAATCAGAGCTCAAGCCTTATAATTCACCAGAGAACCCACACAGGAGAAAAGCCCTATCAATGTGAAGAGTGTGGAAAAAGCTTCAACAACAGTTCTCATTTTAGTGCACATCGGAGGATACACACAGGAGAGAGACCCCACGTGTGTCCTGACTGTGGGAAGAGTTTCAGTAAGAGTTCTGACTTACGTGCACATCATAGAACCCACACAGGAGAGAAACCCTATGGATGTCATGACTGTGGCAAGTGCTTCAGTAAAAGCTCTGCCCTTAATAAGCACCGAGAAATCCATACACGAGAAAAGCTTCTGTCACAGTCAGCACCTAAGTAAGCCCCTGAGGATCTAGAAAGGAAAGAGCTTTGGTAAATATATTGTTTGGAAAGTCTTCCAATAGTGAGATCTGTCTCCTAGCTTAGGAAGTACTCTTTAGGATCTATCCCACTGTTCCTTATGTTCCTCTTGGATCTAAAGCCAAATTTCTGACTCGTTCTTCTTAAAGAATGAAAGGGGAATTTCAGTCCCTCTCTGCTTGCATCTCAATTGACAGATAACACCTTTGCCCTCTGAGCGCCTGTCATTTCCTTAATAGAGAGCATGTAGTAAGAGTTCCCATGAGTTCAGTGTGCACTCTTCTTTACTCTTCCTGTTACTCAGCTGCATTTCTGACTGGAGAAACCCATCACAGAATTATCTCAGGGAGAAATTGTGAGACTTTTTTCATTAAGTGAGTCTAGCTCTTTAAACAATAATGGAAGTGCTAAAAAAAAAAAAAAAAAAAATACTGCACGTTTAACTCAGAATGATGTATTTGCCACACATTCTCTTCATTTATCTTAAGGAGAGTTTAATGTCCATCTTGGTTCTGCCCTATGAATCATCTTGTCAATAACATAAACCTTGTATAAATATTGAGGTGTGAACCCTGATTTCTTAGTTTTTTCCAAGTCCTAGAAGGTTTGGAATAGAGTAGCACTACATTTACAGCATCTAGTTTGATTTTCTTTCTATCCTATTGCATCTGAATTTCATCTGTCCCTTGTGGTCCAGAAGCCCAAAGAGCAAGTTAGCTGGGTGTGGTGATAGAGAAAGCAGTTAAAGCTGCCAGTAGGGAATCTTCCGTGCTGCACATACTCCAAACACCTAGTAAAGTGTTATGCACCGTGTGGGTGCAGAATGCTGACCTGCAGTGAGCAGAGCCACTGCTGCATCCCTGTGTCTAGGAAAACACCATTTAGTACCACAGTCCTTACCCTAATGGCAGGGAAGGTGAGTGTCTGTCTGGTCTGTGGAGGTGCCAGTCTGTGGCCGAAACACACATTCAGCGGGATACATCTACTGTTAAAAGCAGCTCTTCAAATACAAGTGTAATTACTGCTCTTAATAATCGAATAGTATTAAATTTATTGCCTGTATGTTGATAGTAGTATGATAAGAACTGTATAGCACAAGTTAAACAGACCCTGTCCTTGTCCTTACAGTCTACAACAGATGACACTGACATGGACATATAAGTGCACGTGTATAGTTACAACAGTTTTAGAGAAATCTAGAATGGTAGTGACACTATGCGTAAATGTTAAGGTCCAATGTGTTTGAGTTTGCTATAAAAAAAATATGGGAGGTATTTTCTTCAGGAAGGCTCCATGAATCAGGAAGTGTTCAAAGGGAGGGAAAGTCCCTGGGTAAATTAGGGTGGGATGAATTTTCCAAAACTAGTTGCACAATTGAGTGCTGAGTGGGTGAGGAAGGGGAAAACCGGGGAGCGATGTGTGTCATGTAGATGGAGTAGAGGACAAAGGACAGCCCGTGAGGAAGGTTCGAAAAAGCTTGAGGCAGCACACCACTTCAGTAGTATGATGTGGGCTGTGCAGCAGGCAGAATCACCCTAGCTGGAACATGGAGTGCCAGAGGCAGACGACGAGGTGTGGTACGCTTTCATGATGAGGGACTGTGCTGTATTTGTTGATAAGGAAACAGCTGGCTGCCTCTGGGGAGGAAGAATGAGCAGTTTTAGGGGACTAGCTCTGATGGGCAGGTCAGAGAGGGAGATGAACCTGGCCAAGGCCTGTTTCACATTTCATATTAGAATCCTGTGGCTGGAATGAGATCTGGGAGAAGAGTGGGGAGACAGATATTCTATAATTAATACCTGACTGCATTAGATGATAGATCAATTAGGGTTCTGGTGCTGGAGGGATCCTAGTATAAAGAATCTAACGTTTATTAGGACTTAAGGGGAGATGGTATCTCAATTATGTTGCTTTTGCATACAGGAAGGTACAAGAAACACCAGTCTAAAGCAATGCCTCAGAATCTGAGATGGTTTAGGAAGTGTGCTGTAATTTAAAAAAAAAAAAAAAAATTATTGTCTTTAGTATATCTGTACAGTCTTGTGGAAAAGCACTGGATGGGGTATTAACAGATGTGAATGTTTCCAGATGTCTCATGAGTAAATCAACCTGCCTCAGTTTCCTTTTCTGTAAAGCAGAATATTGTTTACACCTTAATCTGCCTCTCAGGGATACCATGTTAATAAAAATTATGTCTATAAAGCGTTGGTGTTCCTTCAGGTGTTTTTTATATGTATGCAAATTATTATGATTAAGTTGTTGATGGTAGGAAGAGATAAATCTTTACCTGCTTCTTTTGGCTTCCGAGGTGGGGTAACTAGAAGTATGAATCTTTATGTTCTAAGCAAAGGAAGAACGGCACAAGAAAAATCACAATGAAAATCCTTGATATCTGTATCCATATGCACAATCCACTAGGACCTGTGATAACTGGGCATGGAGATTGAGCCTTATTTAAAAAGACCAAGGACTAGCCCTCCAACCTCCAGATAACGAGAACGTGCAAAAGGAACAGGGCAAAGACAAAACTCCCTCACCAGGGGAAGACCCAGTTGATCTCAAACCAACTCACAAACCTTTTTCTGCTGCCCAATCTGCTTTTCCTGAGATGGAAGAAGCAAGAAATAATAGTCTTTAAGCATTCTTCCTAAGAAAGAGAACCAAGTCAACTATGCTTAAAGTTACGTGCCGTCAAATTGACTCAGCTCACAGTGACTCTATAGGACAGAGTAGAAGTGCCCCCATCGCGTTTCCTACGCTGTAATCTTTATGGGAGAAGACTGCCAGGTCTTTTCTCCCGCGGAGCAGCTGATGGGTTTGAACTGCTGACCTGGTTAGCAGCCAAGCGCTTAACTACTGCACCACCAGGGCTCCTTATGCTTAAAGTAACATGTTAAACACAGACATAAAAAAATACATAACCACATAAAAAAGTATATATACATATCACTAAAACACTGATAAGCTATTGAACTACCTAGATTTTACAGGCAAAACTTCTGATTCTTGAGGATTCCTGGATTACCTGCTGAGAGGAAAAAGATGGAAAATATTCCAGGACACAATTTTATCTTTTTTTTTAATTATTGTTGTAATTAAATGAAGTTTACATTTCAAGTTAGTCTCCCATACAAAATTTTTTTTTTTACACACATTGTTATAAGAACCCAACAGCTCACCCCATTCTGCAACAGCACACTCCTCCCCTCCACCCCTCATTCCCCATGAACATTCAACCAGCTCCTCTCTCTGCCTTCTCATTTCACCTCTGCGCAGAAGCTGCCCCTTTGGTCTCTTGTATCTACTTGACTAAGAGGCACATTCTCCATGAGTATCACTTTATGTCCCATGGTCCAGTCCAATCCCTGTCTGAAGAGTTGGCCTCGGAAACTGTTTTACAGTTCTGGGGTGATAGTCCAGGGGCCATGCTTTCCGGGGCGCCTCGTGTCTCAGGCAGACCATTAAGTCTGGTCTTACTAGAATTTGAGTTCTGCATCCCATCATTCTACTGCTCCATCAGGGACCCTCTGTTGTGTTCCCTGTCAGGATGTTCATTGGTGGTAGCCAGGCACCATCTAGTTCTTCTGGTCTCAGGCTGAAGTCTCTGGTTTATGTGGCCCATTCTGTCTCTTGGGCTAATATTTGCCTTGTGTCTTTGGTGTTCTTCATTCTCTTTTACTCCAAGTGGTTGGGAAACTGATGCATCTTAGATGACCGCTTGCCAGCTTTTAAGACCCTAGACACCACCAAAGTAGGATGCGGAACATTTTCTTAATAAGCTTTGTTATGCCAATTGACGTAGATGTCCAGGACATAATTTTAAATATTTCATTTTAGTTCTGGGTTCTGACCAACAGCAATAAACCTACCATATTTTTAAAGGATGAAATGAGCCTCTCAATTTTATTTTCCCTACCTAATACATAATGGTATGGTCAAAAAATTGGCAGCATAAATAAAAAGATCTAAAAAACTCAAACTGAGTAATATTTGAGCTGACTACAGACAGCTGAAGTCCCTCCTTTTCTACTACACCATGGGGCTCTCCCAGAAACAAAAATTTGGAAATCAGGTTAAAGGTTGGAAATGGAAAGTGAAAGTCCCTTAGAGCTCAGGAAGTGCCGTCATAATTCCACTATGTTAAAAAAAAGAAAGAAAAGGGTAAGGTACACACATTATTTTTATGAATACCTTGCTTCCTAGGGAGAAAGGTGTATCCTTCCCACACTCCCACTTAAGGCCAGCCTTTTTTTTTTTTTTTTTTT